TTAAACGTAGTACTGACAACTTGGCATGAGTCATATGCTATATTTTTCATCAAAATAGAAAGAATATTAGCATGGTAATCAACATATATCTGAATGTATTGGACCCGATCACACTGGTAGGTGAAAACTCAATGACGGTGAACAGACTTTCATTTTAAGACTTCTCTATCCAATAAATGTGCAAAGCTAACAGCATCATCGTGGAGAGAGTAAAGGACGCACTGGATACAGAACTCCGAACAGAACAAGCTGGATTCAGGAAAGGCAGATCATGTTCTGACCAAATTCCAACTCTACGCATCATTATCACAGAGCAAAGCATGGAATGGCCATCAGTCAAACCTCTACCTCAACTTTATAGACTTTGAGAAGGCCTTCGACAGAGTTGATCGTGAAGTAATTTGGAAATTACTCGAGTACTATGGCGTACCCCAAATATTGATGAATATCAACCTTATTCAACAGCTGTACGACAACGGCACCTGCCAAGTGATCCACAACGGAAGACTCAGCGAGGCGTTTGGAGTAAACACAGGAGTCAGACAAGGGTTATTATTATTATCACCAATGATATTCCTAATTGTGGTGGACTGGATTATGCGTCAGACTGTGGGAAACGAGAAGACAGAGATATCCTGGACCGACTGACGTGAAGAACCTAGAAGACCTGGATTTCGCGGATGACTTATGTTTGATGTCACACACAATCGAAGACTTACAAGCGAAAACCGACAAACTGGTCGAAGAAGCAGCCGGCGAAGACAGAACTCCAAGTGAACATAGACACGACGGAGGTCATGAAAATAACCAACCAACAACAACAGCAGCAACAGCCAGTGTCAATCACCATCCACCGGAGGGATTTGAAAGAGGCTACTTCATTCACTTATCTAGGGAGCATTGTCTCAACTATAGCAGGAACGGATGAGGATGTCAAATCGAGCGAGAATCGGGAAGGTGAGAAACAGATTCATCAGCCTGAAACCAATCTGGAAATCTTCGTCACTCAGCCAGGATCAACAACAAAATTCGGTCGGATTTCCAATACAAACGTTAAGTCAGTCAGTTCTTCTATACGGATCAGAAACTTGGCGGGCGGGTCACAAAGAATATTTCCAACAGCCTGTTACAGACCTTCAACTGTCTTGGCAATATGGTGAAGATCAGATGGCCGGAAAGAATCACCAACAAGAAACTATGGGAACAAACCAAACAAGAACCAATCGCCCAACAAATATGCCGGAGAAAGTGGAGATGGATCGGACACTCGCTGAGGAGACCGCTGGGTGAAATCGCGCGCGCATCAGGCCATTGCTCGAGTGGAACCAGGCCGAAAGGGAATCGGCGGTGAGTGGGTCGTCAGTGCAAGGGTGACATGGAGGAGATCGTGTGAAGAGGAGTTGAAACAGTATGGACTAAGATGGATGTAGGTGAAAAGTGCAGCAGAAGACAGAAGCAAGTGGAGACGTGCAGTTGAATCCCTATGTTCCACTAGGAACCCAAGAGAACAATAATAATAAATAACAGCTACATTTTATTGAACAATACGATAGCAGCAGTAGGTAGTGCCCCAATGTTATAATTGTGTACAGGAAAGTCAAACACAAAGAGGTGAAGGGAAGAAGTAACATCAAAGTTACTGTAACTAGTTAGCTGGCTGCACACTACACAATCGTGCATCATCCTAAGGAATAGCATAAACAGTTGACAACTGGAACCAATTTTGTCTCAGAAACGACGGATAGGTAGACAGATGATAACGTTGAGGATTGATAAAGGCTGTGTTGGTTGAAAAGTGTGGCAGTGGAAGTTGTTTCTAGATACCTGAGACAGAAATCAAGCCGAAAGAATCAACTACTGTCATCCCTTTCTGCTTTCGGCTATCCGAGTAGTTTCATAAAGAAACATATAAAAACATCAGAGAAAAAACCTGAGACTCTGACTGCACGTAAGAAACCTCTATTTATTAAGTTACAAATTAATGGTGACGTATCAAGTGAGATTTTATTCCAGAGATTTTCCAGGAGTATACGAAGAACATTTTACGCAGCACACCTATATTTGTCATTCTCTAGCCGACGAATGATTGGGATGCAAACGAAGGATAAGCTAGATAGTTTTGCCACATCTATGTGCATTTATCAATTCAACTGCACCTGCGGTGACAGTTATGTTGGGCGTACTACTAGACAGCTTAGACAACGTGTAAGTGAACATCTCCCATCGTGGTTTGGCAAAGGACAGACAAAAACAATCCGTAGATGAATTCTGTCACATTTAATTGATAGTGGTCATGTAGTGGAGAAAACGAGAGCCTTCAAAGTAATTCATCGTATCCCACCGAATCTTCCCAATAGACTTTGTTTTCGTCTACAACTGAGGCGATAGGCATTTGAATTATTAAACCTAAACTATGCATTCAAAAGAAGTTCGTACAGCTATTATCCCTCCCTTGGCCTATTTAGATATAACCAACTAATGACTTCTACACAACCCCTTGTTTATATTTTCAACCCCTTTCTTATCATCCCTTAATCTTATCACATCTTCATTATAGACGTGTTTCATTTACTCTCCTTACAATCTGACATTACTTAATCGGTTTATTCGTTTTTACTAGCCTTTATTGACTACTTCCACTTGAACATTTGTTTGTTTAGTCATGCTGTTTTTCATTATTCGTGTTATCACAGATTGCCTCATTTTTTCATCCTTATTATTGAAAAGACCATTATTATTATTACTATTATTATTATCATTACTACTATTATTATCATTACTACTATTATAACTAATTGCACAATTTATTTCACCATCTTATTATCCTATAGACAAAACACCATGATTGGTTTATGTTTGAATTTTTATTTGTAAACTTATGTATATTAGAGTTAAGCCTGATGAGATCTAATTGAAAACAATATTGTTAGCTTAAATGTGTTGTTCTTATAGCATTTGTTATACCTGTTATGGATGAAATTGATTTCGAAATCAGTTGAATCTTTCACAGCCTGGAATACAAAATGATAAGTCTCTATGTGAAAAAAAATCAAAACTCTATAGTGATCAAGGGAAGGACACTCCACTATTAATAGACAAGTAGGTATCATACCAAAAGTTAACTTCATATTTTGTAGGTCACGTGTAACCGAACTAAATCGCAAATAATATACACTTCCGGATTGATGCCTCTTGCGAACAGAGCCTTTTTTCCTAACCATCATCATCATCATCATTGTAACTGTCGCCTTGATATTTACGTGCTCTTTAGATGTGGTTAAGGCGAATTAGTCTTTTTTACAAAACAAAAAACGATGCATGGAGAGATTAACTAACTAGTGAACTGAATAGAAGATAAATTATATCGAATTATATATGCTGAATAAAATTATGAGATATAGGTGTGCACATACATATACACATGGTGATGTGTGTGTGTGTTTGAGGGTATACGTACATGAATAAGTCAACAGCTGGTCATATATATATATTGAAAAATTACTGCTAGACGAAGTGAAAATCAAATAGCTTGCTACAAGCTATAATCATAATAACATTCATGATAAATAAAATAATAATACAAAATATTCCGTCTATAAAATCATAACCAGTTACTGGACAGGATTATATAAATATATGTATACATATTTCCTTGTGTTAAATATAATGAAATGGTATGGAAAAGAAAGAAAAATTAGATTCTGTATAATATTTACTTAAAATATACAATAAAGCCCTGCTAGTGATATTTCGCCGACATAGCACAGAGACTGATATCAAACGTTTGCCTGCCTTTATTCATAATTGGATAATTGACCAGAGAAAGTCATTGTGCGTTAAATATGTATGTACATATGTACATACATAGGGAGGTCAGCATAGTCACCTCATTCAATAGCGCTTCCCCTATTTTTATCATTTAAAACACTAGGGATTTGGTTAAAACCCGAATTGCAACTAATTATGCGAGAATAAATGGTCAAAGTGACTCTAGACCCACTCCAAATTCAGTAAACACAATCGTACATCCAGACAATGATTTACCACACACACACACGCGCATAAACAATCTGGTACGGCTGAGGGTGGGTAGATTTCATTCTTCCTCCCGAAGTGCTCCCATGTGGCCACACGTTCATAGCCTCTGACAGGTAAGTCCCTGCCTTCATGAGACTGGGGTGTTCCTCAAAAAAGTGAACGTTTGGCACTTACAACCAGACTGGTGGATATGCTGGTCTACCTCGGGGAGTAGGAAAACCCTGATTCCAACCTTATGATGTACATGAGATTAGGAAGGCAAACAGATCAAGTAGCGTATGAACCTATTTTGTTCACCATCAGAATGTAGCTCATGACACTGTTCCACTGCCTTGTGGATCAAACTTCAAGTCAAAGGCTAGGGTTGTGGTTCCTTAAGACAACTACGCGCTTCTGTCTGGGCAGTATCCCAGCCATTGCACAAACTATGAGATTTGCTGTGGTACATCTCTTGGTGCCCATAGTGTACCAGATTTGTATTTTTAATAAACATCCAGAAAAAGTACTAAACTATTTCAGCAACCATATGAACCTTTATACCTCTGGTGATGAATCACATTTATTATATTGAGGCAGCAGATAATAATGAATAGTTATTGTAACCGGAAGGTCCCGGGTTCGAATCCCAGTGGGTGCGTACTGCCGATGATTCACAAACTAGGATGAAACAGCAGCTGTCCAGTACTCCCTGGTTTTCAATGGTTCTCTAACTGATATCAATCCGTGATCAACCCGTAAAACACACATAAAAGCCAATGAAATGACTAAACTACAAGTATTCACTTTTTATTTACAGCGTTTATCTTTATTTGGTCTAGAAAGAAAAATAATTTAATACTACATTTTAGTATTAGTTAGACAGTACTGATATAATCCATAAAGAGAAGAAAGACAATGTTAATTAAAAAAAAGAAAAACGTTTATCATATAATTATAATAGTAGTAGCAATAAACCAACTTACTTCTACTCCAATATAATTTAAACGATTCAAATAGTACCGTGTATTTTCGCTCTACATAACAGGAATGAATAAAGGAGACTGAATGATACGGAGGTAAAGAATGCATATTATATATATATGTAAACATGCAAATAAATGAACAGATAAACAAACGACATGTTAAAAATTTAAACACCACCAATATCATTAACATCACTGGTGAAAATTGAAAATATATGTATGGAATAACAATTTTGTCTTACAGTGACACACTGAATACTGTGCACACCTGAAATATATTTGTATACCCATGTACACCATACATTTATGCAGCACCAAAAATATGAAGAAATATTCAGTTAAATTGCTCTAGCTAGACATGACGGTAAGAAGACTAGCATCGTTTTAGAAACTGTGTAAGCCAATGTATATATATATATATATATATATATATATATACATCCTACAGTGTATTACAGTAGTACCTAATTCCGAAAATCAATAAGTCTATTTTGAGGGAAAACATGCAGTAGCACTAATCTGTTTCTCTATTAGGGCTTAAATAAAGTGCACAGAAAATGTGAACTACAAGCTGAATAACATGATGTCACCAAGATTTTTTTTTGAAAGTAGTGAATATTTTGATTTCTCAACAATTTGTTTTCTTGAAAACTATTTCTATGCAAATATGAAGACATATGCATATAGTGAAAGACGACTGAATCTATTAAAAGGTGAGAGAATATAGCAACATATCATGTGTGTTGATGGAAATCATTTAAAGTGTATAATAGATCTAGACAGATTGTAAATAAAATAATCTACTAAACATAGGTGAAGCTTTACAGACACAATGAGGCAGTTGAATAAAGAAAAAGCAGAAGTTTTAGATGGACACATGTACAAAAGAAAGGATAAGTAGAGATTATAAGTAAAAGTGTTAATAGTAAAGTAAGAGCTACGAAAAGCCGTAAGATGAAAGGTAAAACAAAAGCGTAACTAGAAATAGGCGATTAAGGGCTTTAACATCTTGGTTAATGAATATCAAGTTGAAGACAACGGATCGCTAGGCCTGTCTACTTTCGTCTAATTTATACAGAGTTTTAGAAGATACTGCAGAATATCAGGGTCAACCAATTCTTATTCCACAACGAAAAGAAGAATCAAATTCACTTAGCGCACAGGTGTATAGATTACCTCAGTACTAAGTTTGATCACGAGCTGAATTCATTTAGAAAACTAATGAAAGCCAGGGAGTATTGGAGAGCTGTTTCGTTCTCGTTCAGGGCTCTCTAGCAGTATGCACTCTATACCCAACCACGGACAGAGCCAAGGAACCTCAGGTTACAAAGTGGGTTCCAACCAGTGAGACGAAATCGAATGGTTCATGGATGCAGACCACTGAGGAGGTCCAAACTGGGACGAAACAGGTGTCCAGTACTCCCTGGTTATCAGTGCTTCTCTAAATGAAGTCATTTCATGATCGAACTTGAAATATTGAGAATATTCAGAATGTTATTTCGCTATTCAAATGAAATGAATGAGTCCAATTCATAGTTCTTACATATTTTTTCTAGTGATTACCCGACCGAAAGCTGCTACCTTGACGTGGTGGTCGGGCTTGAACACCGCAATGACCTATTCAAGCTATACTGGCTGAGACTTATGTCTCTTGAGGTCCTACCATGCCAGGCAGGTTGTTTGGATAGCGGTTAAACAAAAAGCAGCTACCCAATCCAACATCATGTCCAATACAAAATCACAAAATTTCATGCCGGATCGGCCGTGGCCCGGATTAACAACGACCGCGCTTCCTGCTGCCGTGTCACAGGGCAGGAGTGATAAATATGCTACTGAGACACACCAAACAAAAAGAACAAACAAAAACAGGCCGCGTGTGACCGGCCTCAAGCAGTTGTCCCCTGGGCTCTGCGGTCACGCAACCAACTTCCACGGTGTGGGCAGCCGGGAAGTAACAATCGCCCTCACAATCCGAAATGCACACGAAACCTCTCTATTACTCACTCATCTTTGTCTTCATCTTCATCTCTATCATCTTGCCTTCCTTCCACTGATGCAACTCCTCGACTTGATAGCTCTCCACTTCCTCTCCACTCTGCGTCCACTAAAAACGATGGAAGCCAAAAAACCACCACCGACAGCCTCTTAAAGCCGCGCCACCAATTTCATATAGGAGCTCTTAATGTTAGGACACTTTGCCAAATAGGACAACAAGCATCACTAGCCAAGACCCTGGCATCACGAGCCATTGATGTATGCTGTGTTTCAGAAACACGCATACAAGACCCAAGTGTGGTTATTCACCTAACCCCACCTGGCCAACAGGTTGAATCTGCAAAATTCACCTTGAGGGTGTCAGGAGATGCCACAGCTAGTTCACGAGGATTAGCTGGCGTAGGGATAGCTTTGAGTACTAGGGCAGAAAAGACATTGCTTGACTGGATCCCGGTAGATAGCCGAATGTGTGCTGTCCGCCTGAACGGATCAGTAAGAAGGAGAAAGGACTGCACTACTCGCCGATGCCTTTTCGTAATCTCCGCCTACGCCCCCACTGACTGCAGTTCAGATGAAACGAAGGATGAGTTCTACCAAAAGCTGTCTAGTTTGGTGCGAAAGGCTAAACGCTCAGACATAGTCGTTCTAGCTGGTGACTTTAACGCTCAAGTAGGGAAATTGTGTCAATCTGAGAAGGATGTCGGTGGCACCTATGGAGTTCCGTGCCAGCGAACCGACAACGGTGACCGTCTCCTACAGTTCTGCTCTGATAATCATTTGTTTCTTGTAAGCACTAACTTCAAACACAAGGAGAGACACTGTTTGACTTGGAGACCCCCTTCATCAAACCAACGCTGGACACAAATAGACCACATAGCAATAAGCTATCGTTGGCGTGGGTCGGTAGGAGATTGTCGCTCCTTCTGGAACACGTGCGTAGATACCGACCATGCACTGGTCCGCGCTCGGGTGTGCTTACGACTGAACGGACGTAGGAAACAGCTGGCGGTAAAACCATCACGTCCCCAGCTCGATCAGGAAACTAAATCCGTATTTGAGGAAGAACTAGCTAAACACATATCTGTGTTCGACAGCTGTGCTCACCCTGAAGAAGCTTGGAAAAATATCCAGGCAGCCATAGATACAGCTGTAAAAGCTGTGAATAAGGTAAACCCAAAGGTGAGTAAAAACCACTGGATCTCCACCGCCTCATCCGAACTGATAGATGCTAGAAGACTTATTCCGGCGAGCTCCGAATTCAATGAGGAGCGAAAGCTGCACAAGAGGAAACTTACGAAAAGTCTCCGCAAGGACCGTGAACAGTGGTGGGCGACAAAAGCCAAAGAGATGGAGAAAGCTTCGAGGATAGGCAACACCAGGCAACTCTTTAGACTCATCAGGGAAACGGGTGGGAGAAGACAAATCATTAGTGAGACAATCTCGGAAAAAAATGGCACTATAATTAGCTCCCAGGATAGACGACTGGATCGTTGGAAAGAGCATTATGAGGAGCAGTTTAATTTGCCCACAGCCACGCTCAACCTTCCGAGCATCCAACACCTCCCTGAATGGGATATAGACACAGGTCCTCCGTCACTAACTGAGGTTACTAAAGCTGTCACCAATCTGAAACTAGGCAAAGCAGCGGGACCTGATGGAATGACTCCAGAGGTATTTAAGTACGGTGGAGACAGCTTACTGTCCGGATTAACTGAGGTACTAGGCAGCGTCTGGGAATCAGAAGAAGTCCCATCGGGTTGGTGTAAGTCACTGATTATCCCCATATACAAGAAGGGAGACAAGTCTTCCTGTGATAATCACAGAGGGATTAGCTTGACTAATATAGTATCTAAAGTCTTAGGCTCAATAATCATGCGTAGACTGAGTGGTGCTCGGGAAGCACAAACACGAGAGAGCCAGGCAGGCTTTAGACCAGGAAGAGGGTGTATTGATCATATCTTCACCCTCCGACAGATTCTAGAACATAGGCATTCCTACCGGCGTCCAACAGTCATTATATTTCTTGACCTAAAGGCAGCATTCGACTCTGTCGATCGGGAAGTTCTCTGGAGATGCTTGGCTGTAAAGGGAATTCCGAGAAAATATATTGCACTGATTAAGGCACTCTACTCGTACTCATACAGCCAGGTGAGGGCTTACGGCGAGCTGTCATCTGAACTGATGACGACCAGTGGTGTCCGTCAAGGATGCCCATTATCTCCTTTTCTATTCAACTTCATCATAGATGTGTTAATGGACTTAACCCTAGGTGACTTCAGCGACTCAGGGATTGACTTGCTACCGGGGAATAATCTCGTTGACTTGGAATATGCAGACGATATAGTCCTTCTAGGCGAAGACGCTGACGAAATGCAGAGTCTTCTAAACACCTTGAGCCGCAATCTACGAATGTTTGGCATGCGATTCGCTCCCGCCAAATGCAAGATGATGTTACAGGACTGGACTACATCGACGCCTAGTTTAAAAATAGGAAGTGAAGTGGTAGAGCACGTTGACCGCTTCACTTATTTGGGAAGTACCATCAGCCCCAACGGGCTGATCTCTGACGAAATCTCAGCACGAATACAAGGGGCTCGTTTCGCATTTGTTAGTTTACGCCGACTCTGGCGTAGACGAGATGTTCGACTATCGACCAAAGGGCGGGTGTACTGCTCATCAGTCCGCTCCGTCCTCCTTTATGGTTGTGAGACCTGGCCACTGAGAGTGGAAGACATGAAAAGACTAGCTGTCTTTGATCATAGGTGCCTGCGTTCTATTTCCCGTGTAAAGTGGCATAATAAGGTGAGCAACATGGAGGTTAGGCGTAGAGTTCTAGGTAAACAGGGGAAATCAATCGACGAAGTCGTGAAGCTACAAAGACTGAGATGGTTAGGACATGTGTTACGTATGCCAAGCCATCGCCTCCCTCGACGAGCAATGTTAGCGGATATAGGGTCAGGCTGGAAAAAAGCTAGCGGCGGTCAAACAAAAACTTGGCATCAGTCAATGAAATCCACAACAGTTGGTCTAAGCCACGTAGGAAGGTGTAGACTTCCAGGCTGGGGTCCTCGGGACGGTAAAAATCTATGGTTGGAAACAATTGGTGACATGGCTCAAAATCGTTCTCAGTGGCGCAGATGCATCCACTCCCTGTGACTTATGATCTTCAATGAAACTGTTTTGTTCTTCTTTATTACTCCTTTGTCTCACACCTCTGCTCACTGTTTCTATTATGCTTTTCTTGTACTTTCTTCTCTTGCTTCGCGTGCTACACGGAATGTGGCGACTTGAACTTCCGCACATTTGTGCAAAGTTCTATGTCGAAAACAGACAGTTATTTATTGGATGAATTTATAACAGTTACCTACAAACCGCATTTTTTTATTAAGCTAAAACATACTTTACTGTACTAAACTTCATGATGCTAATTAGCAGATTAAGTAGAAAGCTATCCCTAGATCGACCAATGAGCTGCATTCATGCAAGTAGACTTTCAAACAACCACATAAAAAGTTCACTAGGGATTGTAAATTAGGGAAATTTTGAATGGAATATATATATATATATATAGGCTTAATAACAAGCACACTTTTTTACATTCCTCGTATATTCACGCGAATATCATGTTGTTTCAGTTAACAGCATGAACAAAAATGGTAAAGTTGACGAGTAAACTCCTATAATGTAAATATGCTCTTATCACCAAATTCCAAATTTTTGATAGGAAACATCACGTTTATGGAGGAAAGGTGTCAGGAAAACCAGTACTGAATAAAAACAGGTGAAACGTGACTAACTCCAAAATAAGTGGAGATAGCTAAAACCCTACAGTCAGTAGACGGCATATTGGTCAGCCTGCTCAAGAGAGTTTTGAGTTGTCTCACAAAACTCTACAAATAATTCACTACAATCTCTAAATGTAAAAAAAAATTTTCAAAAAATAAAACTATGTGCACTGTAAAATAAGGTTTCACGAAACACAAAAATTCATCAAAGTAGTTTTAAAATGGGAACCAAAAGACACTACAAATAAAACTTCATTTCTACTAATCCATCATGCAAAAAGTCAGACTGAAAGACAGCTGATGACAAGTGAAACCAAATTGTTGAAGGTAAACTGTCATAGGAAACAAGTGCTTCAAAAAGGTTCGTTAAAACAAAATAAGCCATCATATCTAATTGATGGTTGAGTCAGCACTGTTCACATCACAGTGATATCTTCAACAGAGAATTATATTATCCGAAGACGTTTTACAGAGTAAAGTAGTTTCCAGTCATCGTTATCACTTTCAAAAAAGAGAAAAACCTTTAAGATAAGTAAAAAGGCAGGTGTGTTACAAATAATTCAACTTACAAAATTCTCTGTGATTATTTTTGAACGTTGATCGAAAGCTGTCTGTATACTGGGATCTGCCCAGATAGCACGTAGAGCAGGTACAATTTCCAGAAACTCTTCTTCTAACCAACGTGGTTGACTAAGTCGAGCACGTTCACGGCGTGTCATTCGAGTATCTTTCAAATGTAATTCGATGTCTCTGGCAGCTTGAGCAGCAACAGAATCATCTCCACCAGCCCATGGGATATTCAAACTTTCTCTTGCCTTAATAAAACACAAAAAATGAAATTAAAAGAAATAATAAATGTATTAAGTAATTTTCAATTATTGGTTTCGTAGGGATAGTGTTTGATTGGTTGGAAGGTTTCATCATGTGCTAACATCAGTTAGAGAACCATTGGAAAACATCTAGGGAGTACTGGACAGCTGTTCCGTCCTAGCTTGGGACTCTCCAGAAGTACACACTCACCGCAGGGGTTCAAGCCCAGGACATTCCGGTAACAAGGCGAGCTAGCTAGTAGACCATTATGCCACTGGGACCCGAATCCAATAGCCCATGAATTCTAACTTCTGCCAATTCATGACATAGCGTGACCATTTCTCAGTGTCTTCTTCGATGACTGACTGCCTCACCTTCGAATGAACGACGGAAAGCTTATTCTTTTGGAATATATAGGCATGATTTGGGGAGTTTTTGTTCTATAGTAATACTTAGTCACTTTCAATACGTCAGTCTTAAGCCAATTTGAACAGCACTCAAATGGAGTGAAAAATTATCTGAATTTATTTCTCACGCATATGCGTTTCACAATTCGATTACAATAAATAATTTCCATAACAGTTACAGAGTCAGTAATGTCAAAAGGATGATAATGTTTAGACAATTAACAGTCTACAGTTAGAATGAAGGTTAATTAGTGTTCCATGGGCGTCAAGATCACATAATGTTTAACCATTATATCATGACCCCGTATAAGTGTTTCAGTCGAATATATATATATATATATATATATATAGAATTTCAATGAAAACAAAAAGATGATCAATCACCTAAAAAGTGATGTATTGTAGAAGTGTTTTCCAGACTGTGAAGCTAAATGTGTTAAGGGTTGCCGAATTTTGCCACAGAACACTCCAGAATATAATAATGATAAGTGACAAAAGTAGCCAACAGAGAAAAAGAACGATAGAACCGCGGTAAGTAAAGGATGTACATTACTGACATCGATGCGAGATCATATAAAATGTAGCTAGCGCTCATCAGTTGCTACAAATTAACACATCGTACATGCCACTTCGAATCATTAATCGCAGATCATAAATCAATGATATATCTCTGTGCGAAAGTCTCCATACTTCTTTGAGGGCAGGAGTTTTTTGTCGACCTGCATTTTATCCACATTTAAATCGAAGGTAATTTCGAAGTAGTGACTCTAGTTTTAAGTACAACGTGTGACATGTTGAATACATCAATCTGATTAATAACGTTTTAATAAAAACCCTAACAAAAAATTAAGTGTTTACATGTCTATTAAACAAATCCCTTTAACTCTGAGAAGTTCTTCAACCATTGAAGCTTATACCTTTTACAGAAGTATGTTGAGTCAGTTGACAATAAAAGTAAGGTAACACCGTTCATTAGACAGTATGACAATAAAAATGGTTGCAATTTTCAATACAGGTAACTTTTGGTCTTTAAAATGTGTTAAAACAATTAGTTTAAAGTGAACATGTAGTCAGTAAACTTAAGTCATAGGTTTAAATCCTGTAAGTGGATAATATGACATACTTTTACGCATTAGGCGTGATTCACATTCTGGTAGATAATAAGGGTAAACGGCTTATATTAATTCTTGCTATTAGTAATAATAATAATAATAATCCAATGAGTAATCCAACTAAATCTTTAATTCTTTTGTTTCTAAATTTATACATCCCTCGCTACTTAGGTGGATAATTGGACATAAAATCTAAATCTTTGAAACTAAGAGAGCTGCGATATAACTACCGCTTTTTCAACCTGTCCAAGTTTTTATTGGGCATTGCGATTTTCTGTACAGTTTAGTTTCCCGGATTGGTGAATCGATTAATCTGTTATTAGTATATCGACTAATTGTATATTGTTGTAATTCTACCGAAAAAGAAACATTGATTTAAAAAGCATTCTTGATCTATGGCGAACACTAATTTCTACACAATTGACAACATTTCTGAAATAACAAGACAGCTAGGTAGGTGTATTACTCTGCCTTAAGAATACTGGAAAAAAAATAAACTAAGGAGAATAAATGAACTTTATTTCTAGAGTATTCAAAATCATCCAAAAATCAAAACAGGCGTCACTGGCAAATTATATTCTACCAAAAGTGTCTAAATTCTAATCTTGCAGTTTAAATGTAACAAACAGTTTGCTATTCCATTTTGATATTTTAACACATTTGTGCTGGGCTACAAATAAAAGGATACAACGTTGAAATGTTATTAGTACTACTTTACTGAATTTGCATTCATTTACAAAAATATGTAAGAGTAGTACTTTCCCTAATCACTGATATATATATATATATATATATATATATATATATATATATATATAGAGAGAGAGAGAGAGAGAGACTTGATTTCAACCAATGGGTGGCTGAATTAGACTAAGCTTTGTGCAGATGAGTGATATTATTAGCTGTTCCCGCTTATTACGTGTGATTTATCGCCTAATGCTTGAATATGCAAATTGTTTCTACGATAAATACAATACCGCTATCACATGCATAATTCTTAGTCAAGACTGGAAATATATTGTTAGTTGTTCAAGCCTAAGACTCATAGTATAATATGAGAAAAATGCCAACAATCATTTCTCACTTTTCAAACAACTTACTTGAGTGAGCAGTATGCAAGCTTTCGAAAACCGTTAAGATTCACATAATCAACACATGCAGGAGAGTTCATAGACATTGGGGGTATAACTAAGTCGAATTCGGTAAAATACTTTAGTTAGTTAAAATACTATTTGAAAAAATTTATTTAGTGGAAGTGTCTATAAAAATTAACGATAGAAGTAGTTAATAACACCGCCAAATATCTCACAATAAATGAAAAAAGTAAAACAGTCATTACATAACTGTATTACTTCAACACTAAGAATAACAAATAAGCGTTAAAAGGTCGGTCTACTAAAATCCAACCTTTACAGGGCAGTGAACTAAAACAGTTAGATCCTCTTAGGTGGAAAGAGAAATCTTATCCATTCTCTATGTTCCAGAATTTCAAAAATGTGCTCTAAAGATACGGCCTATAAAGCACTGGTAACTTTCATACAACACTCTAAAATAATGGATACCCTAAAGTTTTATTGAAAGACATACGAAAAAAGAAATCACTCCTAACCAAATTATATGGCTAAAAAGGCATTAAAAGTCGTTCACCCAAGTACTTGAAACACTTTTTATGCCACTAACTTATTTTAGACAATGAATGAAGGACACACTGTAGCTTATGTCCATCTCTACTTGCATCTACTCTTTTACATGCTTTTGTGGAACCAATTACATCAGATGCAGTAAGCAGGTTCTCGTGAAATGCATAGCTGAACACTACTCGGTTTGTCTGATGCGTGGCAAGCATAGGATGACGAAATCTTCTATCTGTGAACATTTTTTTGAGTCAGATCATTCAGCCCATGCTATTCATTCTTTAGAGTTATGTCTACAAGGCTTAATCTAGTCGCTCTAAACATTTAAGTTTTTCCCAATTATGTTTAGCCAAAGTTCTACAGAAACAGCTATCAGAAATTTCGGAGTATGTTGGAAAAATGACGGTGATACACTCCTTAAAGGATACCAATACATGAGACAAACGTAACTGGTGCGGTAACGGCTTCATTAGATGTCGTCTCTTTGTTCACCAACATTCCTCTGACGGAAACGCTATGCTATTTATGAAAACTTATTGATTCAAGTAATTTATACGTTGAAATACCTACTAAATATATTCAGGAACTGATACCAAGATGCACTGTAAATATCCAACTCCTATATAATAGTGAAATATATCAACAGGATGTAGTAGGTATGACTTCTCCGCTTGGTCTACTACTTGTCGACTGTTTAATGACACACCTATAATCGAGTATTCTACACCCAGCTATAAATCAATTAAAAGTCTATTAGAGACATACGGATCATGTCTTTAACACTGTCAGAGAAGATATCGATCTAAGTAAAGAGAATAGAACAAGAAGTTCAGCAAAGATATCTTTTCACTGACTTCATTCTCAAAAGCTATACAACCGCATTCATGTATTTATGAATTTACACAGATACAACTATTGTTTGATTCCACATAATAACGAAGGAGATTGAAGGTGATAATAATTTTCAACTTGATATGAAATTTAGGTGTGAATATAGACTACAAGGAGCTTAGAAACAAAATTACACAAGATTATAAAATTGTTGAGTTATATGTAAAATCGTGCATCGGTGGCACAGCGGTTAGGACGCTCGCCAACCATGCACATGGTCCGGGGTTCGATCCCCGGCCACCGACGCACTCTTTTACCTCGCTAAGCCAGAAATAATTCTGGTAAAGAGGAAAGGTTGGGCATGAGGCCAGCAACCCCATCCAACACTGCTACAGAAACTTCAAGTCAATAGCTTGAAGCCCTATATTCCACTGGGGAACGTGAAGGATAATAACAACAATGTAAACTTATATACACATGGTTGCGATTGTATAGCTTTTGAGAATGAAGTCACCGAAAAGCTATCTTTGATAAACTTCTTCTCAGCTGTCTAACGTCCTGATGGCCATTTTACACAATCTAAATAAAATCAGTGAAGTATTTAGTAATAATAACACATTCATTGGTTTTACTATAGAGGCTGAGTCAAGTGGGAGACCCCCCTTCTCAGATGTTCAACTTTAGAGGAGAATTAGTGGAATAGTCCTGAGATCGGTTTACCACAAATCAAAATGGAGCAGAAAGTTGACCAACTTAGACAACATTGTTCCATCATTTAGAAAGAGCAACCTCGTCAAATCTCTTCTCTGAGGAGAAAGTTGCATTACCACAGAAGAGGCGTTAAATAGAGAACTGAAGTCTCTCTAAAACAGTTTGATTCAAAATGGTTATCCACCAGCAACCGTCAACAAACATGTGAAAAGTAATACTGATAACTCGTTAAGGACAGAAGTCCCAGAGAAAGTTAGTTGTAAATCTGGAATTCAAACGTGTCACAACAGCTGAAATCATACAAAGCAGATCATCGCGAGTAATTGAAAAGCGTTTTTCACCTCACCTTCTTCACTCAACTCTTTATACATCAAAATATCCAAGACAATGTTGCATTCAAGTGTTGGTTGGCGGTGATTTGCTTTGATTGGTTACAGGATTTCATCGTGAGCTGACATCAGTCAGAGAAAACCTGAGAGAAAGGGACATTCGTTCGGTCCTACTTTGGGACTCTTCAATGGTACTCCCCGTCAGGGTTCGAACTCAGGACCTCCCGGTTACAAGGTGAGCCCACACACCACTAAGCCACTGGGACCTGATCCAATGGCCTATGAGTTCCTACTTCTGCCAATCCACGACATCGCGCGACGACTAGCCAATGTCACCAGTGAGTATCTGTCCTTACACCCTACTTACAGTGCTCCAGTGGCTTAATGGTCTGAGAGCTCGTCTTGAAACCGGAAGATCCTGGGTTTGAATCCCAATGGGTGCGTACCACTGAAGAGTCCCAAAGTTAAACCAGACGGTTGTCCAATACTCCCACGTTTTCCAATGGTTCCATAACCGGTGTCAGTTCATAATGAAATCCTGTAAACAGTGTTGCATTGTTGGCAACACTCATGTGTATTTATCAATTCGCTTGTTCCTGTGAACCTATGTGTATAGGCTATATCAGCAAGATATTTTCTAGACGTGCATAACATTTCCCAATATGGTTGTCGAAAGGAGGAATCTAACCACTTCCTGAGCACCTTATTCTTACAAATCATTTCGCAACAACAGAAAGATCTTTTGAAATGAATATATATATATATATATATATATATATATATATATATATAAATATATGATTGTACAACCTGGCAATAAGCATTTGAAAAGAGTTACTCATCAGTGAATACCTTTCGTTCTGCCTGATTAACATAATTTACTTTTGTCATGATTGATTTTGGTAGGTAAGAATAACTAGCAAAAAGAAACCAAAAGAATCCGAAAAAATAAATACACTAACCTGTAGTAAGAATAATACACCTTTGTAAATGTTGTCATAAATGACATCCTTTAACTGTTCAATCTCTTGATTTGTGAAGTGTTTCCCATTGATAATTTTCATTTGTTTCAAAAAAGTACTTTTCCCGCTTTCGCCAGTCCCTAATAACAGGATCATTTGTTTTCGACGAAGACGATTTTTTTCTCTTTTTAATTCCCTTTCTATTTCCTTGTTGCGTTTTCTTTGCCACTTTACAACCTCTTCATTTTCAATTGCCTCCTTCGGGTATGCACAACAGGTCAGTAAAGACAAAGTCTCTGACATTTCCTACTAAAAGAAGCCATCAAAATATTCAAATTCTTAAAAACTGAAGCTGTAAAGTGGACAAAACTAAAGTTAATATGGATCGTATGTGTGACCAGTTATATTCGAAAAGTCAAATTAAACTTTGAAGTCATAAAAATAATGCCAGTGTTATTCGTGAAAAGCAATTTTACTCTTGCATCCTGCTTTATAATAATCCCTAAGAACCAAAAATATACCAAATAACGCTCAGATTTTTTAAATTTTAAATTACTATAATAATATAGTGGTTACAAAGTAGCATTTCGTGCTTAAAATTTGCAGCATATTTTAAATATTTCTGTATTCGCATATAAAACTGACGGTTGAAGACAATTTACAGTGGTGCAGGCGTATCCACTCTTTTTCGCCGATATTCTAATATCTTCAACAATTTTTCTTAAATTCATATTTGTCATCAGTAGTAACAACAAACATCTTCTAGAGGGTTTTCTAAGTATGGCAACTTGGACTTATGCACTTCTGTACAAAGTTTCACGTTGGCTTGTCCGTTTGTCTTCAAACAGTAATTGACAGCGGCATTTTATCTTATCCCACGGTAACACCTCTGACTCTTTACTACCCGGAGAAGGGATTCAGGAAAACTGAGTCAGAATATACATGCACACCGTCGTCAGGAATACCACTCTCTATAGGACGAATAATGTTCTGTAAAAGTAACGCTTCATTTTGTGTCCATTGTTTTTAAGCCATGTTAACTCACCTTTTATTCCACATATTTTACGAAGTGTATCCAAAAAGTATCAATTGCCCACTTACTCGATATAATTTTCAGTCTACAATAAAATTCTATACATTTAGGTAATTTTTCAAAATCCCACCAGATTTAAGTGGTATTTGTGATATAGTGGATACAGACGGACTCATTGTAGCATGCTGAAACTACATTAAACAAGGAAAATGGCCTATCTTATAAGAAATAAGTGTACTGAAAAGGAACTATGACATGTAGCAAAAGTTAAGTGACTTCAAACGAAGATGAAACAAATATTAACAAACAGATTTTTAGAGTTACTAGTTTGATGAAGACTATTGTTGAGGTAATAACAAACATCAACGGATCAAAGTACATTAATACGAATGATGAATGAAATGGTACAAACAAACAATGAAGAACAATTCAAATTATCCCCAGTTACCTGAGACACTAACCATTCAATTCAGAACTGCACAAAAGTGTAGCAGTTCAATTCACTATAACCCGCATAGCAAACAGAGGTAGAGAAAAATCCAAAACAACTGTTATGAACAGAAGTTTACGGAAGAAATAACTACATGAAGAATAATAGAGAGGATTTAACGAATTTGAGAGTTTGTAAAGAGTGAATTTATCTGTGAGGCTGTGGAGAAGCCATATCATCAACAGTCAACCCATGGCACTGTTTCTAGAGTCTCGAGGATCCCAGCAACGAAGTATGCATCCCCCTACACAGCCCACACTTACTTGTGAGGAGTAGACATAGGTCGTCCAACTATAACTACTGTTGCAAAAGATGTCATTAATTTGAAATTAAACGAAGCAGAGCAGCCTGACAAAATGATTCTAGAGAGGTACAAGGACGATGGCGGTGAATTATTTATTATCTCTATACACCAACCATCCTTTGAACAACCTTGACAAGTTGCTTGCTTCTTGGATTCTGTCGCTCATTTATTTCATCCTTATTTTTCCTAGATTGATTTTTTGTTATTTTTAGTGTAGCGCATCTCCTGGTGTCCATATTATATCAGGTGTCTTAATAAATTATAAATAAACTGTCTGGCTTGACTAAAATATTAGTTTATGTCTGGGAATCTGAGATAGTCCCGTCGTATTGGTGTAAATCATTTATTATCCCAATTTATAAAAAAGACATCTTCCAGGGGTAACTGTAGGAAAATGAGCTTGACTAACACAATCTAAAGTTCTAGATTCAATATTCATGCGTAGACTGAGCATTGCTCGGGAGATACACATATGGGAAATACATAGGCTTTTCGTCAACGAGAGTTCATTAGCAATATCTTCACCTTCTGAGAGATTCTGGAAAATAAGAATACTTATCATCCCTCCATATTTTTTGACCTGAAAGCGGTACCTGACTCCGTCAACTCAGAGTGCTATGGTAATGTGTGTTCACGAAGGGAGTTCTGAGAAAGTATAGCGCACAGCATGACCGCATACTACGCCTGCGCCATAGATTGTGCGATTTAACCAACAACAAAAAAGCACTTTGTGCCAATGCTGACCATATACTGAATACAAACACACCTAAATGTGGTCAGATACTTGTGTCTAGAGATGTTATATAATATGGAGTTTAGAATGAAATGATTATAATATTACTATCAGATCAGGAAAAGAGAATGTACACAATCTGAAGTATGCAGTGAATAAATAGACAAACAACTAATTATTTAACGAAGACATTCATTGCAGTCACATAACAGTATGACAATGTGAAATAAGTAACTTCCGTTGATATATTGCCATTGTTTATGTGGTTTTTCTCCCCATTAGAGTAATTTAAGAAATCTTACATTAAACTTCAGCGTATGAACTAATGAGACCAATTATGAAATGTTGACACATCAAGTGTTTTTATTGCAAAAAATAAAGAGCAAAATATTCAACTTTTAATTACTTAGGTTTGCCAAATTAATGTGTCCTTTAATGAAAAGAAGTTCAAAATGCGTGAAACAACATTGATTGTTGATGACAGCGAGCGTATTAGTCACTACTAATTTGCATTACAACGTAACGGCCCGAAACAAGATTCTCAAGTGAGCTAAATGCGACACCGGCTTCGTGAGATCTTATGACTTTATCTGATTGATTAAGCGGGAGTGAGTATAGTAGGTTCGAATAAGACAGCCATTAAATTAACAAGTTTCTGTTAGTTCAGAACAGTATTGCTGTTTGTCAACAAAAATTTATTGGCTAACACCCCCATTAAAGACAACAGGAAATCGTGGGCACTGTCCGAAATAGACATCGGGAGCACTGCATTCCAACCACTCTGAAAAAATATAAAAGCCTCCAAAGCTTTCTTTTGCATTTTGTGCCCAAACATGTCTAAGCGTTTCCGGATAATTTCCAAGTACGTGGACGAACAATAAGTACACAAATGTGCATATATATTTTCCCTACTCAACTGTCTTTTTAATTTAAGCGAGTATTACATATATATATATATATATATATATATATATATATATATATATATATATATATATTAGAAAGTTACTGTTAGTTCAGTAGTTGCGTCCACGTAGAACTGCACAAAACGATGATCTTCACTGATAACCAGCAACCAATTAACGAGGATATAATTATTTTTAAGAATACACAGTTCACATAAACTCTTCAAACAGTGTTACTATATAATGAAATTCATAACAGGTACATTCTATCTATAGTAGTCAACATGGATATGAAATCAGCCCAAGCTCACAATGATTCTAAACTAATTCTAACCCATGGGTCCATTATGCCTTCTTATGGTGAATGAATATTTTATCTATCTAAAATGAACCCACTATGCACTGAAATATCGCTGGTCGTCTTTAAAAAGAGCACTAGGCCCTTAAAAATAGGATTTGCGGTTGAAATAATCCATTTAGTGCTGGAATAAAGCTGAAAAAATTGCCACTATCCAATGAATTAAGCTATCTGGTTCTGAAGTAATGCTAGCCGGTGTTGAATCTAAGCTGAGAGAGCTGAAATAACGCTGATCGTAAACCTAGTAGGTTCTGAGCTACTTCTGAAAATGTCTAGAAAAAGCACAGGGTACCAAATCAGTAACCTCGTCTAGTTAAGTAGCTCGCTAGTTTTCTAGCCGATCCCAAGCCCGGGTAAAGAGAGAGGGTTGGGCGTGGGGCTAGCAACCCACACCACTAAATCTTTCAAACCGCTACAGAAACTGCAACACATAGGAAATATATTAAAAACACAAAAACTCCAAATAACAATAATATTATTCTTTGCTCGAATCGGAGAGGCGAAATGACGCGGGCTGGTGAAAGCTTTCGGGAAGTCAGTCAGCCGTGTTTTCTCCCGAAGAAAGCAAGAGTAAGAATAGGTACGTGGAATGTCCGTACAATATATGAAGCTGGCTGGGAAGGCTGCCCAGGTAGCCAAAGAGATGCGAAGATATGCCTTGGAAGTACTAGGTATCTTGTGAAAGCAGATGGAACGGATGTGGACTGTCAAAATAGTCAACTGTAGAGTCAGTAATCTACTATGGTCACCCAGACCACCAGCACACTGAGGCAGTGAGTGACTATCACGATGCCACCGGTGGCAGCCAAAGTCCTAATGCAATGGGAACCAATTTCATCCAGGAACATGACAGCAAGATTCAGCTCCAAAGGAAGGAAGGAAGGCAACAATTATCCAATGCTACGCACCTACAAACAACGCGGAATAAGAAAAGAAGGAGGATTTTTACAGACAACTACAAACAGTTATAGACAGCATCCAAAATGGTGACATCAAAATCCCTATGGGCGATACGAATGCAAGCCTAACTAGGAGAAGTTAATACAGAAAGAGGACTCATCATGGGTTGAGAGGCTATCGTTCGGCGAAATGAATAAAAACGGAGAATTATTCTCAGACTTCTGCGCTTTCGATGATTGGGTAATTGGAAGCAGCGTGTACGAACTCAAGGATATACACAAGGCCAGCGACATGGATTTCACCTGACGGACACACACCACAAACCAAGTAGATTTCATATCAATGTTGCTCAAGGAAGCGGAGAGGCAGCTTACTGGATACAAAATCGAGAAGGGGAGCAGATATGGACTCAGACCATCATCTAGCTCAAGAATCCTTCAAGGTGAAGCTGAAATCGATGAAAACAACTGGAGAGAGACCACAGCTCAAGTTCAATATTCAGAAACTGAAGGACAAAACTACAAGGGATACCTTCACTACAGATCAGATCAGAGCAAAGTAGGATACACTACTTGAAATT